GTGGTGCGTTTCCAAGACAATGAGGTGGAGCTGAAGATTGCTGAGGTGAAGTTGACGGATGCTGGCTTCTACGAGTGTCAAACACCGAGCACCGACTACGTCATCAGTGGAAATTATATGGCTCAGGTCCAACTCACAGGTATGAAAGTGTGTGTATATTTAACCATTCTGACCTATTAATACAGAGGTTTAAATCCTGAACAAATGTTAAATTTAACAAATGTCTGATCAAAAAAATAAAAACCTTTAAATCCAGGCACTCATACAGTACATATCTAAGCATACTAGCTGTCTTTGGAAGCCATAAATTATTTCTATTTGCACATAATAATAAAAAACAAAAAATGTTACTGTAAAGTGTCATATACCAATATTATTTGAAGAACTGACGGGTTTCTTTGAGCCATAGTACAAAGCTCTGCTGTGCAATGATGTACTTTACCTTGTAACACTCAAACCTTGTAAAATCAAGTTAAAACTGAGGAGATAGCTTCCAGTTTATACACAGTATAAAAGCATTGTCAAGCGTTTGAGCTGTCCCTATAGAAACTGACTTAATGCTCACAAAGGGGGTTTCCCCTCACCATAATCCACCAGAACTAATACAAAGCAATATCCACGTGCACTCCAGTGAAATGGCCTGATAAGGTCCAGGCCCATGTGCTCAAATGGGACATCCATTAATGGTAAAGGGCACAAAGGCCCTTTTTGTATGACTGGCTGGTTAACCAGCTGACACTCTGGGCAGGGCAAGCGCTATTGGTGCACATCTGCCCGGCCAATAAAATTGAGCCATTATTCAATCTAGAGTTTTGTCATACCCAATGTGACCGGCCACTGGGTTGTAATGAACCACCTGGAAAATCATTTCGGCTTCAAGGCACCGACAACTGGATGTGTTCCTCCTCTGTGCGAGTGTCTAATCAATACAAAATGCAGAAATGTCAGCGCTGCTTCAGGGTGCACCATCTGACCATCAATTCTTCTCACCTGGTCGAAGGCTGAGTGTAGGGTGTCAACACAAGACAGCTCCAGTAGAAAATCTTCTGTGGAGTGAATTCCAGGGCCTTCTCCTTCTCCTTCCCAGAGCTGATGTCGGATGAGCCCGTATCACCGCTTAGCTCAGGGCAGACCCCGCATGTCCCTATCGGCCGTCAATGCACCCGGACACACTGCCCTATTAATCTACTGAACCCGCGCCAATCTGGCGTGCGTCAGGCGTCGGGAGCAGCCAGAAAACCTATTCCTCAGCCGGCCACCAGGATGCCTCCACCATTGCCTGGAACGCCTCCAGGAAGGCTTTTTTGAAACACAAAATTAAAAAATGATATCCTAAAGTTGTGGATGTTAGACTTCAGAGGGTCCTTCACAAGGCTCCTTGGGAAAATTGATTGCCCAACCCTGCTGTAGAGGCTAGCTTGGCACGTGCTACTTTATAAAGTCAATATTTTTACTACTAGTTTTTTTTTCTTTTTATAAGATTGTTTGTGTGTGAAAATGTTTTTTTGTTTTGTTTTCCTGTCAGTCGTTCCTAACACGCTCATGGTGTCCCCTAAGACCCCGCCCCCTGTCATCGTTGAGGGAAGTGACCTAACTCTCTCCTGCAACGTCACCCGGGAGCTCATCCACCCCACCTACCTGTCTGTCACCTGGTCGGTGAAGAAGGGGACGACGTCAGAGGAGATTTTGACGTTTGGTCCTGATAGAGACTTGGTCACGGGGTCCAGGTTTGCCCAGCGTTATGCAGAAGGAGGCATCCGATTGGTCCCTGGCAGGAATGGAGTGTTTGAACTGGTGATTTCAAAAATGACGATGTCCGATGAAGGAAATTATGAATGCAAAGGGATGGAGTGGACATATGAAAGAGGAAGAAATTGGATAAAAATCATGGAGAGTACCAAAGAGATGGGAACCGTTGCAGTTACTCCTACAAGTAAGAGGACACATGTATGAAGCACTGGTTACACCATTAAAGGCACCATTGCTGCTTTTCTGTTTGAATTACATTTTTCAGAC